TTGAGACCCAGTTGCCTAAGCTGTAAGAAGCAACCTCCCAAGGTGACTGCCAAGTACCATGAGAGGATGTGCACAGAAAGGCCACTTTGTAAACTGCACGACACTGCAAAAATGAAAAGAATGATTCTCACTGATGACACACATAATGTCACTGGATCTGACCCCCAAAACAAGGCCATGGAGTTGGTGAATTACAGTCAAGAGCTTACAGAAAAGGCAGGTATAGCTCTTTTCCAAGGGAGTCAATGGCTTTGCCCGAGTTCGAAGGATAAGTAACAGAATAAATAAGCACAAAAGTTGGGATATGAACCTAAGTTAGGTGATGCCAGAATCTGAGCTTCTCCTCCAGTTAGAATATTATTACAGAGTACTAGTTCCAATGGGATTAAGGAGGAAAAGCAGCCTTTTTATGCCTGGAGAGAGAAGGGGATTCACCCACGTGTCAACTCCTAGATATTAAGAATCTGTATAAACCCCTTTCAGGGCTTGACCAAAGCAATCACTGATCCCATGTTTATTTAAAAAGAATACTGAGCATTTTTTCCAAATTCAAATCGTTGCCTATAATACTCTCCACAGCACAGCACCAGGCAACATGAGAGGAGGCTAGATAGGAGATGATATTTTACTATTTGCTCCTAATCTCACTGCTGCTAGAGTCATTAAGCCTTTATAAGGCAGGGAGAGAATCCACTGCTTTGTGGATTTGGAAGGAATTCCTATTATGCTAATTCCAGAACCTGAGGTACATCTGAAAAAGAGGTCAACATGACTAGATTTTTCCCTATCTCCTGCCACAGAAGAGCGTCTGCTTTCTCTATAACTTCTGACAATCTCCACCACCACCATTCCATTCCTTTGTTATGGGGACACTCAAACTAAAGCAAGGGCACCCAATCAGTCAAGGCTTCCCTTGTTATTTGAAGCAAACCTGACATTTGGCAGGGGAGGATGATTGGATTTCCAGCTCTCAGTGCCACCTACCATCCCTGCCTGTCACTCAGGCCCTCTGACCAGAAGCAGATTCTGGTGGGAGCTAGCTGGGCTCTATGACTGCCTATAATGGGAAAGTGGGAAAGAAGTTGTTGTTGTTGTTTAATTTAAGCTGTATAGCTTTTCCAGAAATGAGTCTACTGAAGTGAATGACTCTCTTTTCCTCTGAGGCCTTTGCTTTGACTTTTTCCAGGAGGACTATGGCACTTAATGGCAGGTAAATGGGCCAGGAAACCTCACCATTTGCCCACATCTCACACACACCTCCAGCTGCAAGGCAAGGACAACTGTGTCAGGGGGTAAAGGTCTCTTTGCAAAGGAACAGGAGCGACAGTCATGAGACCTGAGTTTAATTCAGTGGACTATAAAAGGAAATAGGGGTCCAAAGGCTAGAGTTCTTTTCCTGATTCTACTTTTACCAGATACAGGATCTTGGCTAAGTCACTTCACCATTTTTTGAATCTGGTTACTCATAATAGAAATAGTTAACACTTATTGAGTGTATGGTAGGTGCCAAATACTGAGTTACTTTATCTACATTAACTCACTTCATTTAATTCTGAAAACTTTAATAAGTAGACATAGTATCTCCATTTAAGAGATGAGGTTCAATGAGGCCCAACTTGCTGCAAGATCTGCAGCAGAGCTCAGATACATGTCAGAGCTCGTGCCTTTAACCACATCTTACCAGGGGTGAACTTTTGGCGTCTCTGGGCCACAGTGGAAGAAAAAGCGTTGTCTTGGGCTACACATTAAAACATTAAATACATTGTGACACATAATCTCTAAAAAAAATCTCATATTTTAAGTAAATTTACTATTTGTGTTGAGCCAGATTCATAGTCATCTTGAGCTGCATGCGGCCCGTGGGCTGCAGGTTGGACACCCCTGTAAGAACCATAAGAATGCCTACCACTCAGGGTTTCTGTGAGCATAAAATGCTTGAACATGGTCCACAGGTTTCTATGGCACACAGCAGCACCTGACAAAAGATTGCATTATTTTACTTGCTTGGTCTTCGTCAGAACTATAGGAAAGCAGTATGCAAACCGACTTTGCTAATATTGCATGGGCTGAGGAAGCAAAGCTGTTGCTTAGCCTATAACCAAGGCCACAGCACATGACTATTTCAAGGAAACCTGGGAGGTCAGAGAGCATTTCAATTTAAACATCGACATGACATGAGGAGAGAGGCAAGTCACAACTAAGATTTTTCATGGAAACTCTAGCATCTGTAAGATGGGAGGGACGGTCTTGCCAAAAGCAGGAAAAGAGTGGCTGAGCAGGTGTTTTGCTTGAAGAAACATGGATCTGGAAGAAGCTACTCTAGCACCCTGTTGTCCATCTAGCCTGCTGCTACCAAGTGCATTCTCATGAATGACAGTATCCGATTCTTACAGAAATCCCTGTGAGTTGGGGACTTCTCTTTCTGCTGCGTTGTGTCTGGGAGCATCTCACTAGGCAAGCTGGTGATGATGGCATGTGAGGAAAGAGCACAGAACAACCCCATCCCTGTGCTATTCTTACTACCACTTCCTGGTTACAAGGGGGGGGGGGTTTCGGGTAAAAGCATTCAATTAACTGATCCATCAAAGGTCAAAAACACCTGTTCAAATGTTAACATAATTATTTGCCTTCTAATACAAACATCATTTCCAGGAAAAGCCATTCTTCCTCAAGAACTCAACCCACACTGTCAATTTGGAGCAAATAATAAAACTGAGTTTGAATTCTTCATTTTCTGAACACAAAAATCCTTAGTCCACCTTAAAGAAACTACTACAGTTGCCAAATGGACTGTTTTTCTTTTAAAGGTTGGAAAGAATTCTCATAGACTCCCTTCCCCCTCCCCAAATTCAAACTGTTGATTGTGTGCCTGGTTTATGATGTTATTAAAAAACAAAGAGGGGTCTCAAAGTTTACAACCAACCCCCAGAGTGGGGAAGTCCAAAGAAAAACTTTATGAAATGTTGTTCCTGTACCATCAGCAGCTTACATTTGATCCAGAGCAGGCAAGATTAGCTAACTGCCTATCCCCTTGAGCAGTTCATTTGGAATTGACAACCTGCATTCCAAAATCAAGTCAGCAAGATGGAAAGAAGGCTTTGGAAGAAGGCAGGCATAGGTCTGAATCCCAGCTTTTAAAAGCCGTAGACTTTGAGATTATCATTTAACCCCTTTGACCTTCTGATTTTCCACTTGTATAATGGGGATAATAGCACTTACTTCACATGCAGTGTTGTTGTTTTTTTAATCCTTACCCAAGGATAGGTTTTTATTGATTTTAGAGATAGAGAAGGGAGAGGGAGAGAGAAAGAAAGAGACAGAGAAACACATTAATGTGAGAGAAAAACATCGATCGGTTGCCTCCCATACACACCCTGACCAGGGATCAAACCCGCAACCTTTCGGTGTACAGGAAGACAGTCCTACCAACCAAGCCACTCAGCAGGGCCACATGTGGTATTCTTAGTAATAACTTTCTTCTTCTTGGCTTGCTAATATAGGCCAAACATAAACTTCCAGGATATGGCTAACATACAGGTGACCCAAGAATCTTGGTGGACATGATACTTATTTATGTCTTTTATCCACGTGGCTGAGGTTAAGGAGCACAGAATAAACTTAGAATAATAGTGGAGATACGGAATGGACGGTTGTGAACACTGTATGACTCACAAGTTTTAAGACTGGATTGCCATCAATTACTACTTCCCTCCTCGGCCCCAAATGGATAGATCTAAAACACAGTGGTGAGCTTCCAAGTACAGCTAGGCCATACCCCAGTTTCCACGAGGCCACCACTGCTCAAGATAGTTGTGGACTTTGTCCAAGTCCATGGCACAGTTCTTCGTTCTCAATGAGAACTTTGTGGTCTATGGGAAGACCTGGTTATAAGTTTGGACTTTACACCTGTATATGAGTCACCTGCTCAGCAGTTAAGTGTGTGCAAAGTATTTCAGCACTCATGACCTCTTTTACTCCTCCATGCAATGCAATGAAGCAAGATGGTCATCCTTGGTGTCAAAGATGCATGGCTTGTCAGTGGAGGGCCAGGTCTAGAACCAAAGTCTCTAGATTCCAAGTCTCATTTTATTTTCACTTGGATATCACAGCCACTGGCTAAGAGAAATAAATACCAGCGGTATTACCACTGTTACAGCAGCACAGTGATGATATGGAAAGAACCCAGAAAATGTCTGAGATACCTGACAAGGTCTTTCCCCTCTCCTCTGGGGCTCAGAGCTCAGACTCTAGGCTAAGGAACAAATAAGTTCAAATCCTAACTCTACCACTTATTAACCAAGTGACCTTGGACAAATTACATTTACTCTGTAAACCTCAGTTACTTAATAGGTAGAAAAAAGAACAATATTTAGACTTCATTGGGTTGTTGTGAGGATAATTCATACAAAGTATTTCAGTATACAGTATATGATAGGATCTGCGACTTTAACCAAAACAACGTATAACAAAACCAATTTTATCATAGGCTAATTGATATAAACAAGAGTTAAGTTCCTATGGTATCTCACCAATGTCTTTATAATGAAAAGACATAGAATTTTACATACTGGCTGGTATAGCTTAGTGAACTGAGTGCCGACCTGTGAACCAAAGGGTCACCGGTTCAATTCCCAGTCAGGGTACATGCCTGGGTTGCAAGCCAGGTCCCCAGTGTGGGGCACGCAACAGGCCACCACACACTGATGTTTCTCTCCCTCTTTTTCCCTTCTTCCCCCTCTATCTAAAAATAAATAAATAAAATCTTAAAAAAAAGACAAGACATTGAATTTGAAATGACATTATTTGAGGACCTGCTATATATGTATGTGTGTGTGCAAAGTATTTTTAAGTACCTTTAATAATAGTATTAACTTCATTAAATAAATAGTGCTAATCAAGTAAAATTCTAATTAATCTACCAAGTCTTAGCTAACTCAGATATTCCATAATATGATGCCAGGGAAGTCAGACAGGTTGAGCATGGAGGTCTGGGCACTTACTGCAAGGATGGCGATGACGATCCCCACGGCGCAGAGCACAGCGTCATTTATTGTCTCACCAGTCTTCACAGGGTACTTGATGCTGTCATCATTGCAGTAAAACCCTCGGTGGTAAGGCTTGATGGTGCTGGTCTCAATGATCAGGAAGGGCAGGCCCGCTGGTCAAGACGGAACCATTGCATGTGCCAGGAAAAGACAAAACAAAACAAGGGGAAAACATCAGTGCAAGTTGGCTAAAGAATGACAACAGCAAAGACACTTATATAGCAACCCTGACAGTGATATTAACTCCCTGCGTTTTAGTGATCTACAGCCTAATGGGAGCTCTCACCACACCTCCCTTTTCCTCCTTTCGTTGGCCCTCCTGTCTACCAGCACAGAGGGCGGCAGTGGGAGAGCCAGGGTTGCAGCTTGTCCACTACTGTACAACATCCTGCCAAAAATTAAACCCCAATTTGTAGTAATTACTAACACAGTCCCAAGTCTAATGATGTCTCATTATGCCTTCAAGTACATTCTTCTCTTAAGTCTTAACCATTTCCCCTTTGAGAAGGTCATCCTAAGGCTACATTGCATGGTGTAGTGAAGGCCTGGGGTCAGACAACTTGAATTGGAATCCCAGGTCCACCATTTCCTAGCAGTGTGACTTCTGATTCTCGCTCTATCTTCCTGGGCCTCAGTTTCCCCATACATCAAATGAGCTGTGGTGAGGACTAAAAGAGGGAAAAAAAGCACATAAAATTGCTAGCCCGGTGCCTGATACACAGTGGCTAGTCAATGAGTGCCATACTCCCGTCTTGTTCTTTTACTGTTCAGAGTCATTGTGAAGACTGAGCAGAGCCAAGCAGGACCCTGCTGCCTGCAGACCTGGAGCAAAGCCCAAGGGCACCTGAGAGCTCCAAGCTGCTGGTGCAGCTGCTGCTGGTTTAATCAGTGGCCAGCTCAGATGCCATTCTCTTAAAGGTCATGGCAAATGGATTCCATCACCTGCCAGGAAAAACTCCCTCATAACCCTGAAATAAAGAGTGAAACATCACAATTTCTCTTGTGTGAACACTGCAGTAGCCTCCAAATCGGTCCCCTGGCCTTCACTGCCTCTTACACATATCCACCAGTTTACTTCCTGACCATAACATTGCCTTGCTAAAAGCCTCTTCCATGGTTCCCCATTGCATGGGACAAGATAAAGCATGACTTCAACCTCCCCTCTCCAGACTCATTGTCTCCTGCCCCCATCCCACCCACCCCATCCTATAAAAAACAGTACACAGAGACTATCTTGGTTCAGGCTCTTAGACAGACCTATTTCTCCCCTAGCACCCAAGTTCAATACCAAGCCCCAATGCCACCTTACAATGTAAAAAGTGAGCCACTGAATGTTAGGACTAGGGAAGACCAGGAAAAACATCTAGTTAATGGTAATATCACCGGTGATGTGCACCTCTAATGTGTAAGGTACTTTTATCCATTTTTGCATAGACTCAACAACCTTGAGAAGTTATTTAAAAGCATCATTGAAGCATGACTATCGCTCATTTTTAAGTGGAAAAAACAGAGTCAGAGAGACTACTGAGCTCACTCAGTCTCTTAGCCCATCCCCAAATGCCTAAATCCCTAATTTTACTTTGCAAATTAATTTTACCCAAATGTGAATTTTATTAGTTAAAAAAATCCCAAGATAAGCAGTTGTTGAAAAGATAAAATTCCATTTTCATGTTTTTCAAAAAGAATTAAATTCACGTCAAACTGCTTGAGGGCCCAGACCACCTCTTAAAAAAAATGTACCATGAACTCCACAATTTTTCAATTACTTTGGTGCAGACCGGCAGCAATAAAAATGCTCACTCTCTAAAAAGTGTATTTATGTATCACTGTGTATACGCACATGGATTTATTTGGTTTTATTCTTGGGATTTATTTGAATTCTACGGCTATTTATTTTGTGACCCCCTAACTGCTTCCTGCTAGAACAACAATTTACTTTATCAAATTCATACTGGTGCTTTGAAAAGAAAGAACAGCAACACACCACAGCATTGTGCTTGACCTTCTCAAAGTAAACACAGAGGGGCCCTGGAAGGCAATAACCACTAGCCCTTGAAACTCCATCTCTGCAATGGAGTGAAGGGGGCAAGGAAGGCCGTGTGGCTTAGAAATGGCAAGAGCAGTTAGCTAATCTTTCGGGGTTAGGAGGCTGGGAGAGAAAGATAGCACATGGGAATGGACCGTCTTCATTCCACTGCTTAAACATTTTGAAATGTGGCCAAGTTGGCTATGAAAAGTAGCTGAGAAGCCAGTAGTATGATAATAATAGTCTGCTTTTAAGTTCCGCACACGGTGATAGAATCGTTTAGCTTGGTGTACATGCCCGGCCGCAGCCTCTGCAGTGCCTGGGAGCCAAAATGTTGCTAATAAACTCAGGTAGGGAACAGACCCCGAGTTCCTTAAATTTGTGCTACACTCTCAGGCCCCCAACTTCTATTTTTAATAGTGTGCACATGATAGGCCTGTAAAACATATGTTTCTAAGGACAATAAAACACATATAAAAGAGCTGTGGAGTGAGACAGAACTGAGTTAATGATCTCAACTCTGCTCCTTTTTACTTGCGAGAGCTATTTCATATCTCCAAAAGTCCCTTCTCATCTGTTCAATGGGAAGAATTAAATCTAGCTTTGAGATTGCTGGGATGATGTCATATGTTAATGTAGTCATTCACTCATTCATTCAACAAATATTTATGGAGTTTTTACTACGTATACAGAGTACAGGGAATACAAAGACGACAAGCCCTGCCCTCAACGAGCTTACACTGTGGAAGGGGAAGACACATATATGCAATATACAGGGTGTTGCTGCTTTAGTTGGAAGACACCAAGCAACAGCATTTGCAATGTGAGCACAGTCTGGCACACGCTATGGACGGTCGCTAAACGTTAAAAGGAAGAAGGGGGAAAAGTCCCACACAGAAGGTTAGGACAAAAATGTCTGGTTAGTTCCGTTGCCCTCTTCACCTGGGAGCAATCCAAACCATTTTTCTTTTTTCCTTGTTCAAGGCAAGAAAAAAAGAGGAGGAGGGAGGGGAGGGTTTCCAGTTCCGATTGTGTGGATGATGGCCACAAATAGACAAGAAATTGGATCTGAATATGTTCTGTTTGTTTTCTTGAAAGGCATGGAAATAGCATTTAGAAAACCCAATGGCTTTTTTTTGTCTCCCCTACCAACTGTGGTCTGATTGGGGGTGATGGCAGTCAAATCTTGACTTTGTTCCAGGAAGAAAGAAACCTCAGATTCCTTCAGCCGATGGGAAAAGCATAAACATTTTCCCCAACAGGGCAGCTGCTCCTCAGAGATATAAACCATGCCTTCCCTCTCCAGGGCACAGAGAAGAGGCTCTTCCTTTTCCAAAGCGGGATCTCCGCCTCCAAATTCAGAACCGTCTTTATTACCAACCACTACAGCCCCCGATCATTTTCATTTCCAGAAAATTTCCACTGTTAGCCACTGGGAATCTAAAGGTGAACACATCATAGTACCTGTCCTCAAGAGGCTCATGATACTGTAAGAAAGACACAAGAATGAGAGCACTAAAAATATTTCTAACATGTAGACTGACATGCGTGTAGACTATAGCGAGGGCACAAAAGACTACTCTACTAGGGCCACTAAAAACGGCCCACGGAGGATGGCAGGTTTCCACTGACCCTTATAAGAGCAAGAGGCTTCCGGGGTCTAGGGGCTAGGTAAACTCACAAGAACTCAGTGTAGAGATTCCACTAAGGGAATCAACAAAACTGATGTCCATTATGAAAATGCAATTATAATTTGGCTACAGAGCTCACAGAGATACATAAGGAAACAATGAAAGGAAGAAAAATATCATGAAGAACAGTAACAATAGTGAACATTTACTAAACAACGACCACGTGCCCACGCTGTGCTGAGGATCCCCACACAGACCACTACGGTCTGACAGACCTGGCTGCCTGCTATGCTCTAGGTACAGGGGCTACCGAGATGAAGAAATTTACATCCCACCCTTCAGGTGGCCCACAGGATAATGGGAGAAACAGTTATAAAAACTAACACACATGGGCTCTGGTCAGGTAGCTCATTTGGTTAGAGCGTTATCCCCATATATCAAGGTTGCAGGTTCGATACCCGGTCAGGGCAAACACACACAAACATCAACCAATGAATGCCTAAATAAGTTGAACAACAACAAGTCAATGTTTCTCTCTCTCTCTCTCTCTCTCTCTCTCTCTCTCTCTCTGTTTTTCCTCTTCCTTTCTCCCCCCGCCAAAAAAATAAAAAAAAAAGAAAAAGAAAACTAACACATCAGTAGTCATCTCCAAAAGGTAAATCACATATACTGTTTTTTTGTTCCTGTTGGCTATTATTTTCTAAAAGTTTTACAACCAATACACATTTGGTTTAAAATTTTAAAAAGTTATTTCTATAGAAAAAAACAACTAACATGTTAAGTCAATTTAGGGTTCAAAGGGATTAAAGTGACATACCAGAGTCACTCTGCAAGGACATGGTAGAGCTGAATGGGGCTCAAATGATCTGCCTCTTAGTGCTTTCTAAAGTAAGGGAGTCACTTCAAATGGAGGGAAGGAAGCACCGAGGAGTATCAATAAATTAACTAAAGCTCAGCAAACCTTCTGGCCTTTGAAGAAAAATAATGGTTTGTTTGGAACAGTCAAGGCAACAGCAGTGGCTACTGTTCACTGAACATACACCCTGGACCACATGTGCTCGAGATGCAATTCAACCGAAACTCTGAAGCCAATATCCTGGAATTAAGATGTGTATCTATAATGAAAGGTAGATTACCAGCTTTTTGCAAAGCAGAACCAAAGAGTGTGCACACACACACACACCATCTGGTGATTCTAGACCCAGACTCAAGTATTTCTCCTTCTTTTAATCAAGGATCAATTAACTTCCTATACCTCCAGGGACCTCTTGAGATGTGTAAAAGCTGCAGAGGAGGTGAAATACGAACTCACTGACAAACACTTAATGGGCAGAAAATCAAAGCATTAAGAAAGGCCCCTGTGTTGGGTTCAGGCCTTTGAAACTTCTCAGGCTTTGAAAAACTAACACTCGGGTAGGTTGGGTGGTTGAGAGTGAGGTGTAAAAAAACAGAGGAT